CGCTGTTTGCCGAATGTGGCCGCCGCTGCAGGAGGCGTCTGCAAGCTCTCTCATGGAGAAGCCACTTTCTTTGGCTTTCAGGGGTCACCATCGGGAACCTCAGCCACACAGGAGACATACAGGGTAGTCTGTACAGACAGTAGGAGCCTGTGAGCGTCCAGCTCCCAGTTTGTACCGTGGGTCCCCCAGGCCGTCCCCATCCAGCACAGAGTAGAGGCGCCGGCTGTTGCGTCCTGGGTGGTGGGGATTAGGGAAGGCGCCCAGTTACCAGTTAAGCTGCCTCCAAGGGCGGTAGCCTGCCTTGTGCTCCGATAGCACCCAGCGAGAGGGCCCAGTGATGGCTGGATTTCCGCAGGACAGGACAGAGGCCTGCAAAACCCACATTAAGCAGGCCCTCCCCTCTTTGTGCACAGCTGAACCGGCTGATATGGCCTGAGACAGAAGCCCTCCCTTCTTCCCCTTCTTAGGCGCAAGGAAACGTGACCCCGTGGTGCAAGTCGAAGCCTGGGAGCAGCCACAGGCCGCGGAGGCGACGCGGGGAGGCAGAGATAAGCGAGCGCGTGCCCTCCCCTGGTCCCATCACCAGTGTGCGGCCTTCCTAGGTCCATCCTTCTGGGAATCCTGCATTCCCTGGCTCTTTCGACCTCGGGCGCTCCCTTCCCGCGGGGCCCAAGCTCAGGTTGCAGTCCCCATTTGAGTATCCCATTCAGTTTGTGGACAGTGCCTGGCCCAAGCCCAGCCGGCCGCTGTGTGGACGTGGGGAGCAGTGTCTGCTGTGAATCCCGGTTGGCCGGGCAGCTGTCGCCTAGGCTCTCCTCTGCTGAGGCATTCTCCTGGGTTACATGGTACAGCGTTCTGAGCCGGTAGCCACCAGCCCGTCAAAGACCCTGCGCCAGGCCAAACAGGGCATCCCTGATTCCCCAAGGGTTGCCTTTCCAGGACCCCCCCGCCGCTGGATTTCTCAACGCTGGAAATGGAGATTGGAGATTTCTCCTACTTCAGGGGCTGGTAGGAAGGCCAGCGGGGGCCGTGGGATCTGCTGGGCAGAGAGGCCCCTCGCCTGACCCCCTGTTCACGTGGCAGGAGCGGCTGTACTGCGCGGCTCACGTGCTCCGGACCTCAACTTGGCCGAAGTTTCTGGTGGGCTCTGAGGCCGGCACCAGCCCTTCTAGTCTCTGGGCCTTGCTCCATATAGCCTGGTGGGCCTGGGACAAGAGGTCTACGGGGTGGGGGTAGGGGGGCAGGTCCTTGGAGCGCGCATGCCCCTTCCTGCGTGGGTACTGGGCGCCTGCGGAGGGCACTGGTGCGCGCCGTGCCCTTGGCTCAGGCGTTGACGCCCGGCCAGCCGAGGCTGGCTGGGCCTGCGTGCGGGCCCCACGCAATCCGTCCGCCTGGCCCGGCCTCAGGCAGCGCGCAAGTCAATGGCCCAAGATCCGCTGGAGCCTGGAGGCCTAGCTGCGCACGCCGCTGCCCGAGCCGATTCAGGGGCGACGGGGCGCTGTCTCTTTAAGGTCACTGCCTGCTCCCGCACAACGTGGGGAGGACAGCTGGGCACTGGCCATCTGACTGACTCTGGCGTGACATCTGGGAGCCCACTGGTGTGTGGCACGCGAAGCGCTTGATGCCGCTATTTAAATGCAAATGTGCGGGGGCTCATTGAAGCCTCGCCCCGTAAATCCGCACAAAAGGAACACTTCCCACCCTCCGAGCCGGGCGGCGGCGGAGGGCCACCGGTGCAAATCGCGTTGGGCGAGGGGCCCTGAGCGGTCGCCGCTGCCCGGCTCGCAGGGTCCCCAGCGGAGGCAAGCCCCGCCTAGTCCGGCCCCTGGGTGCCGCCTGGCCCTGAGGCCGCAGTGGCCAGAGCAACTTCCAAAGCGCCAGCGCCCCTGCCTTCGCGCCCTTCCATGTCGCCCCCACCCCAGTCCTTGGGTCCCCTGGAAGGCCTTGGGGAGGGGCCGGGCTCCCGCGGGAGGGTGGGAGGACGCGCTCTGCGGATCTCGGACACCCGGGGATCGACCTGCGGCCCCTCCCCCATCTTCCCGGGGTGCTCTGCCCTCGCTCCTCTCTGCGCCCCTCCCGTGCGCGGCAGTCGGGGCTGGGGTGGGCGTGAGTGGGCTCCTGCCCTTCCAAGCCTCGCGCTGCAGGCCGAGGTGGGGCCTCTGCCGCCCGCGAGTCCTGGTGCCTGCAGCTCGGAGCCAGCCGTGGAGTGACAAAAAAGATAAAGTTGGTGAATGATAAAGACCGTATTTTCCACGCTTTGGGTGCGGGGCCAGACGATCTAGAAAATGAGCTGAAATGGATTCAGCCTCCGAGCCTGTTGTGAAAGCAGCTGATTCCCCCATTTCGGGCCAGATGGCCGCTGAGCACAGATTTGCATTCATTTTCGCTTAATATCATCCAAAATAGTGGGGCAGCTGCATTTGTTGTCAAAAAGGTTTAAACCCCTTTTCTTTCTGGGGCAGGATCGGTACCTTATGTGATGGGCTTATAGAACTTTTTTCTCTCTTTAGTCAACAGTATCAGATTTAGAAGGATTTGTTTTTAAACCTTCTAATTTGGTAATCAGATTTAAATCGCCTTGCGCGTGTGTAATCTGAATTAAAGATACTGTAAATGATTTTAAGCGTGATACTTTCGTTCGCGTAAGGAAAGGCTACCTCCAGCGAGGGCTGGACATTTTAGGGAGTGCGCCACAAACGAAGCCTTGTCGCCGATTTCCAACTTCATCTTTCCAGAAGAGACACTTTGCATATTCTGACAATACCGCTGGCCGGCGGGCCGCTGGCCCCTGCAGCTCAGCACGCGGAGACAAAGCCGCTTCCAGCCCCACCCTCCCTCCACCGCCGCCCTCCACCGAGGGCCACCTTCCCCCGCGGCCCCTCCACGGCCTCCTCCACGCGGGGCTGCCGGGTGGGAAGCGCCTGGCTTCTTAGGAATACAGAAATTTTCTTTTAATTTATCGTGAATAGTTTCCATACACTTTGATTTAGGGTCATTAACATTCTATAGACGGTGGCATCTTTAATATGTGGCGATCGCTTCTAAAGACTAATCTCATTACCCTCAAATAGTCATAAAATATGATTTTATTATACTTACGTATTTAATTAGACGGCCGACACGTAATGGATTTGGAGATGGGACTGGCCCAACAGCTTGGATAATTCACTTATCTTTGGCAATAGCCATTAACCCCCAACACCAGCAAAATAGATCGCTTCCGAACGCATCGTTTCCCACCTCACCCCTTCCAAGAGGCTCGAGGGTCCCCAGATAACGTAAATCGGACTTTGATTTTTCCCGATTAATTAAAATATTAACGCATATACGCTGCCAGTTCGGAAACGAGGAGTGCTGTCCAGACCGAGTGGGAGGAAGTGTCCTGAGACGCCTCTGCGTCCCGAAACATTTTATTATTATTTGTCTCAGAAAGGCCGGTTTCCCTCGGCAGGAAAGTGCACGGGACAGCTGCCGGTTGTCCCCTGGGTCTCTGCTCCGTGTCGCACAAACGGCCTTCCCGCGGGGCGCACGCCCGGGTGTCCAGCCCCCGCTGCCCTCCCGGTTCCTCGAAACCAGGTTCCGAAGCCGCGCGCTTGCGGCCCGGCGGCACCGAGGGCATGACCAGGCGCCCGCGGCGACGCTCGGCTTCCTCAGAGAGTGGCGCCCGGGCGCTGTCGTCCCGGTGCTGGGCGCGCAGCCCGACTCCAGGCTTTGGGTCGCGGGGGAGCCCGGGCGCGCTCCCCGTCGGCCCGGGGCCGCCTTTGTCACTAGTGGCGCTAGAGGAGAGGCCAGGGGCCGGGCCTCTGCGGCCGATGGGGGAGCGACGGCGTGGGGCCTCGGCCGCCTCGGCGGGGGTCAGCGGCCGGGCCTCGGCGGGGCGGGGACAGCGGGCACGGGCAGCGGGCCGCAGCCTCAGGTCGGGAGGATTGGGAAGCCTTGGTGCCCCCCGCCCCCCGCGGGCCGCCCGCCCGGGGGACGCTTGGGGGGGCTGTGTTTGGGGCACTGGGCCGGGCTGCGCCGGGCCTGGGGAAGGGGTGTTGGCACGCTTTATTTGGGCTCGCGGGAAGTTGTGGGCGCGCGGCGGCGGCGGGGC